AAATCAACAGCAGCAACAGCAGCAGCAGCAGCAGCAGCAGCAGCAGCAGCGGCAGGGGCGGAAGTGGCTAGAAGAAGATATGTGTGTTTTCTGTGTATCTGTGTGCGTGTTGCTGCTGCAGGTGGGAGCTGCTGCTGCCGGCTGCTGCTGCAGTGCAGCACGTGCTGACCCTAACAGAAGTGGGCGTCGTAGCAGTGCAGCAGCAGCGTGGCCTAGCAGCAGAGGGTTCAGCTCCTCATACGCAGCAGCAGCGAGCAGCAGCAGCAGCAGCAGCAGCAGCAGCAGGAGCAGGAGGAGAGGGACAGGCTGCAGGCGTACCTGTAGGCCGGTTGCTGCCGGGTGTTGCTGCAGTGACAGCAGCAGACGGCGCGCTGCTGTTCAGCAGCAGCAGCATGTATTTCGAGCGGCCCGTTGCAACAGAGAGTGCCTTTGGGGCCCCCGAGTCATTGGGGGCCCCCGGGGGCCCCCCAGGTAGGTATTTCAAGTCCGCGCTACTGGGGTGTATAGACCCAGGCGGAGACGTGCGAGTGCTGGGGTGTACGTACAGCTCAGCACAGCTGCTGCAGCGGCCCCTGCTGCAGCGGCTGCAGCAGTGGCAGTGGGGGCTGCCCCGTATGGAGCGCCTGATTGAGGGCTATGTACATAAGGTGCCGATCACAGGCAAAGAGTGGGGCAACTACCACGCTAAGAAAAGACACTGGAAACGCATCTTCTAGTCCTCCTCCTCCTGCTGCTGCTGCTGCTGCTGCTGCTGCTGTTGCTGCTGTGGCGGCTGGTGGTGCTGCTGCTGCTGCTGCTGCTGTGGCGGCTGGTGGTGCCGGTGATGCTGCTGTTGCCGCGGATGGGCCCGCGAGTTTGTGGAGAGACAGCAAAGCAAGACACTTGTAGTGCCGGGCTGCACTGCTTCTGTACAAGCATGCATGCGCTACCAGCAGCAGCAGCAGCAGCAGCAGCAGCAGCAAACAAGTGCTGCAGGTACCCCCGCCAGCAGCACCGAGCGACTGG